ATTTTATTCCTCTTAACCCTATTTGAAATGGAATTGTTTCTTAATTGTTTACACATTCCCTCTTACTCTCTTAATTTCATGTTCGGGTTATCACAAACAACAAAAATATACTCAATTTCTGTATTTGAATTTCACGTCCTTACAACCTTGCCAAACTCATCTTTGAGAGCTCAATAGTTCATCTTTGCTGATTCCTCAGGATTATCTCTATATAAGATCATCTCATCAACAAACAGAGATAGTTTTACTTTGTTCCAAGTTGGATGCCATTCAAATTTTTTCCTTTGCCCTAGTATCTTGTCTAGAACCCCTGATTCTATAGATAGAGGTTAGGATGTGCAGTTTATAGTTGTCTTTTTTATTTTCAACTCCTTTGTTTTCTTTCTTTTTTAGAACGGTTTTATTGAAACTTATTTCAAAAGATGTGAGGGGAGAGATAAAGAAAAGTACGTGTTCAAGAGAGAACACAGACTTTTTTTTTTTTTTTTTTTTTTTTTTGCTTTTTGGGTCACACCCTGCAATGCTCAGGGGTTACTCCTGGCTCATGCACTCAGGAATCACTCCTGGCAGTGCTTGGGGGACCATATGGGATGCTGGGAATCGAACCTGAATCGAACCTGTGTTGGCCATGTTGGCTGCGTGCAAGGCAAACACCCTACCCCGAGGCAAACGCTCCAGCCCCGAACATAGGCTTCTTGAGAGTGAAAATAAACAAGCGAGGAAATGTAGATAGGCAAGAGAGGTGTGTGATCAAGGGGGAACAAAGGCTTGAAGAACCAGCACAGCCCACCCGCTGTGCAGTCCGACCTCCTGCCTCTTGGCGTCCCCGAATACTGCTGACTCGTCCGTTTCTCCCTGCTATTCCTGCTATTCGGCTGCTGCTTCATCTGCTCTGAGGCAGTGCCGCTAGAAGCATGTATGTGTCTGAGTGTTACACGTCTCCGTGGAGACAACTCTGTCACGATTAACTGTCCCTCTTTATCTTCTAGGAATTTTATTTTTTGTTGTTTGAAAATTTCTTTTGGACAGTCTTGGGAAAAAGAATTTTCATTCGACCAACTTCCTCTCCAGGCTGGGTTCACGCGGGGAAGGAAGGCAGGGGCCAGGGGGCCGGGCTTGGCGTCCAGTCTCTCCATCCTTCCTGTCCCCAGCAATGGATCCAAGCCCCCTCTCTCCCTCCTTCTGCATTGAGACACAGGGGACGGGGGAGGCGAGAGGGGGCTACAGCTGCTAAGGTTCTCTTTAGCCTTTTTGGGGGTTCTAGCACAGCGGCAAAGATCGCTGATGAAATTCTTGCTGTACGGGGCTGGAGCGACAGCACAGCAGGGAGGGCGTTTGCCTTACACGCAACCAACCCGGGTCGATTCCCAGCATCCCATATGGTTCCCCCGAGCACCACAGGAGTAATTCCTGAGTGCATGAGCCAGGAGTAACCCCTGTGCATCACCGGGTGTGACCCAAAAAGAAAAAAAAAAGAAAAAAATTTTTGCTATACGTTAGCACTTCCTTGTCTCACCTCGCTTACATGACTATCAGCAAGCAGAGATGTTTGCCCGCGTTTTACTTTGATAGTAAAACTAAAGCAACTGCAGCTGGAGAAAATGTAGCGAACAGAAGTTGGCCTGAAGAAATGAGGAGAATCACCATCAGCCTCTCCTGAGACAGGCTGGGCTGGCTAGGAGGGTGGTTGTCTAGTGCGTGTGTGTGTGTGTGTGTGTGCGCGCGTGCGTGTGTGTGTGTGTGTGTGTGTGTGTGTCGGGTGGCGGGCCAGCCCCTCTCCAGGCCCTTTCCTCTGTCCCCTGGGGTCACACTGAGCTGGTTGGGGGTATGATATAGGTCCCATGGAAGCCAGAGGCTGGGGTGAAGATGGTTTTAGAGGGGAGATGGGGAGACCCTGATCTGCATTGTCAGACACGCATCTGCCCCGAATCTGGGACCCCCCACTCCCCACACCCCACAGCAGAAGCCAAATGAGACCCTTTCCCAGATGTCCACGTAGCCCCAGGGGGTCTGCTCCCTCCCCTCCCCCTTCCCTGCTTACCCATCTCCCGCCCTTTATTCCTCCCTCCCTCCCTCTTCCCCTCCGCCCTCCATCCCTCTCTCCCTCCCTCTCTCCTCTCTCCCCATGCTCTCTGGGCCCCAGCCCCCTGTGTGGGTGGGCTGGCAGGGGCCATCTGCATGGGAGCTCAGGAGGGAGGGGGACCCTTTCTCAATAAGGAGGGAAGCACCTCCTTAGGAGTGGGCTCAGGACAGCCACAGGCCTGATGGTTCCCTCCAACGGGGAGGACATGCAGGAGGCGGGGCCCACAGTGCCCAGGACAGGGGAGGGTGAGGTGCCGGGCATCCCCGCCCAGTCCGGCCGCCCACCCGTGCAGCAGGCTGGCCTCTATCCACCACCCAGCTCTGCTTGTCCCGCCTCTGTCCCTGACCCAGTCTGCCGGACACTCGGTGGGACTCCCAGCTGGCCCCCGGGGGTTGCTCCCAGCCCTGTGCCCAGGGGCATGTCCTCACTTTGCAGCTGGATTCCGCTTCTCTGGGCAGGTTCGGTGCTGACAAGCAGGAGTGATTCTCGTGGAATCTGGGCTCAGATTAATCAACCATAAAATTCGTGGGGAGTGGACAAGGGGGCACAGGGTAGGGTGCCGGGTCCTCACTCAGCCACCCGTTTGCTGAGGAACCCCACAGGGACAGGGGCCACATCTGCTCTGGGGACCCCAGAGGGGCTTCCCCGAGGCTCTGAGGGACCCACGTTGGTGGGGCTGAGTCCCACTGCAGCCTGAGGGCAGCGCCCAGCGAGCAACTGGATGAGGTCAGGGCTAGGGTGGGGTAGCACTGTCACTATACTCTTGCTGTTCATCGATTTGCTCAAGTGGGCACCAGTAACGTCTCCATTGTGAGACTTGTTGTTACTGTGTTTGGCATACCTAAAACAACATGGGTAGCTTGCCAAGCTTTGCTGTGTGGGCTAGATACTCTTGGTAGCTTGCCAGGCTCTCTGAGAGGGGCGGAAGAATCGAGCCTGGGTCGGCCAGGTCAGCCTTGTGCAAGGCAAATGTCCTACCCGCTGTGCTATGGCTCCAGCCCAGGGAAGGGTAAAGTTAGGGATAGCTACAGGGTTAGGGTGAAGCTTTGGCCGTGGTAAAGGCTACACCTGAAAGGGCGTGAGCAAATGTTAAATTTAGGGTAATTGGTAGGGTTAGACTAAGACTGAGGTAAAGGTCAGGATTAGGTTAAGGTCGGGGTTTAGGTTTGGCCCTGGTAGAAGTTGAGAAAGAATTTTGGAGTGTGGGTGAATGTTAAAGGCAGGGCGATTGGCAGGATTAGACCAAGTTAGGGTGGGATCAGGGTTGGGACTGGGATTGGGTGAGGGTTGGGTTTGGGGTTAGGGTTAGGTGTCAGGTTTGGCCATGATAGAAGTTGGGGATGAAAGTTAGAGAGGTGGGAATGTTAAGTACAGTGTGGGTAGTTGGGTTCGACCAAAGCTAGGGGAAGGGTTAGGATCAGGATTAGGGTTAGAGTTGGAGTTAGGGGTTAGGTTTGTCTATGGCAGAAATTGAGAAAGTTTAGGTGAGGGTGAATGTTAAAGTTAGCATAATAATTAGGTTTAGTTCAAAGCAAGTGCAAGGTTTAGGTTTGGGGTTAGGGTTATAATTAGGATGGGGATTGAACCATACCAATTACCCTAAATTAAAAAAAATACTATTCTTTTTTTGGGAGTGGGGGGGTCACACCCAGCAATGCTCAGGTGCTACTCCTGGTGGGCTTGGGGGTCCATTTGGGGTGCTGGGGATTGAACGTGGGTTGGCCACTTGCAAGGCGAGCGACTGTCCTGCTGCATGATCTCTCCAGCTCTTAATGTTCACTCTAGTCTCACACTCACTCTCAGCTGCTACCATGGCCAAACCTAGACCCTAACCTAACCCTAAGCCTGCAGCCGCCCCCCGTCCCTTCCCTCACAGTCCAGCCCCCTGTGGCTGAGAGCCAGAGAACCGGGAGCCCTACAGCAGCCTTGGGGGTGGTGCTGGAACGGGGGTGGCCGAGGCCTGAAGCCCACAGACCTCAGGCCTGCTCTGAGCTCGGACTTGGAGTGCCCGTGTGTGGATTCAGTTCTGCCGCCTGCTGTCCGGTGCCTCTCCATCAAGAAGGGGTCCATGTCCCCCTCACTCTGACGGTCTGATGCAGCCACATGAGTTTGCTGGGTGCTGTCCTGACCCCAGAGCCCAGGGCTGGCGAGGGGAGTGACACACGGGGGTGCAGGCACCTGGTGGCTTCCTTTCCCGTTGGGGTAATAATTGTCCTCAGGTTTTTGCTTTGTCTAGGGGCCCTTAAGGGTGACCTGGGGAGGAGGGGGCACACGGACACTGTCCCTGCAGCCTGGATGGGCTGAATTCAGGGAGCAGTGCTGCCCTGGGCACTCAGGTGGGGCGGCTCTGAGTGAAGGGGGTTCTCTGTCTCCCACTACCCTGCAGGGTCCCTTGGGTGCCCCAGAAGGCCTGGGCTGGTGAGCGAAAGCCTGACTGAGCCCGATGCCATGGGTTCAGGCTCCAGTTCTCACCTGCTGGGTGGGAGGCTCCCCCGGCTGGTCTGTAGTTTTCAGGCACACATCTGGTCTCCTGCTGCCATCTGTGGAGACCACTGCATGCCAACAGCCCCCCCCACCTCCACTGGGGGGTCCCTGGGCCCCTGAGTCCTGCAACCTGGCTCCTTGGTGACCTCCTCCCCTTTCCTCCCGGTTTTGGCCTCTGTGCCGAGTCCCGAAGCAGAACCAGTCTTGTTTCCAGTTTTTAATGTTTTTCTTGTAAAACCAAAAATATAAAACTGGCAGGGGAGTGGCAAACAAGTTCTGTACATTTTATATACACGAGGTCTGTGATTTCAAAACCGCCGGGGAGCGTGAAGGAAGGCACAGCCGAGTGCGACCCCGGGGCCCGGATCCTGGAGACCCCCGGCCCCGGCCCCCCATATGGTGTGTGCGTGGGAATGGCGGCGGGGGTGGGGGGGAACAGGCTGGGGGCAGCCCAGGCCCTCAGGTGTCCGTGTAGATGGAGGGAATGTGGCCCAGGCAGTGGTCGAAGGCCCCGTTGGGGAAGAAGCCACAGTCTTCGGTGCCGCTGGACACAACGTCTTCGGTGGACTGTGAGGGCAGTGCTGTGGGGCAGGGGGCCTCGGCCAGGGCCTCGTAACCTGCAGGGGACAGGTTGGGGCTGAGGACTCGGGAGCACCACCTGTCCTGGGGTGGCTCTGCGTCTCTGCTCCTGCAGGGGGGCTGCGGGCACAGAGGAGCCAGGAGGAGGCTGAGGGGCACCGGGCACTGGGGAGACAGGCAGGGCTGACTGAGGATGGGGGGAGGGGCAGTGGGGGGTCAGCGACTGCCCTTAGGGGCTGCTCTTCTCTTGGCAGGAGGACCCCCCCAACCTAAGAGCCCTGCAGAAGGGGACAGGCCTTCCCTGAGAATTAGGGGGCCCCTGCAGTCCTGTCTCCCTGTGCACCACCAAGGTCACAGTGGGCAGTTTAGAGCCTAGCTCTGAGGGGGACAGCTGCCTGGGTCCTGCATATGAGGAAAGCGTGGACTTGCACCCGGGACACAGCTCCCTGAGTCACCGGCGCTCTCCTGGACCTGTGCTCCGGGAGGGGCCTCCAACCAGCTGGGGGCTGCCAGCTCGCCCCTGCCCCAAAGGCTGTCCCTGGAGCTGGATGGGTTTGGGGGAAAAGTGGGTGGGCTGCATCGGGGCGGGGGGAGGGCGGTGAGCTGCCCTCTCGTTGGTCTGCTCTGCTCTCTGCACAGCAGGGCAGAGGGTGGGCAGTGGAGTCAGGGCCAAGGGCAAGACCACACCTGAAGAGCAGGGGGAGGACGGGCCCAGGGGCCCCAACTCCAGTGTGGGGGCAGGAGCTGCCTGGCACCCCCCAGAGGAGCCCCTTGCAGACCCTCTGCCTGGGAAGAAGCACACACCCAGTCTCCTGATGCCCGTGTGAGACACGGACACTCCCAGGGGACGGGGTGCTGCACACAGGCTCATGAGAAGTCCCAACACAGCTCAAGCTGTGCACCCCCACCCCACATAGATGGTCATGCAATGCGTCAGGAACACGTGTGCACAAGGGCAGGGGCTGGGAGAGCTCACATGTGGAGAACATGCATGTACAGGGATGGGGCACAGGACAGGTTAAAGGATGGGAACACATGTGCACAAGGACAAGGGCCCAGGACAGGTCACATGTGGGGAACACGTGTGTAGAGAGACGGGGCCCAGGACAGGTCACATGTGGGGAACACATGTGAAAGGGAAAGGGTCCCAGGACAGGTCACATATGAGGAACATATGTGTACAGAGGTAGAGGCCTGGGACAGGTCACATGTGGGGAACATATGTGTACAGAGACAGGGGCCCAGGACAGGTCACATGTGGAGAACACATGTGCACAGGGCCGGGTGCCCAGGACAGGTGGGAGGATAGCGTCAGGTGTGCACAGGGTGGGGTGGGATAGATGTGTGCAGGTGGAGGGGGCGGGCGCAGGCAGGGGTCCAGGCCCCGAGACCCTCAGGCCTCACGCTGCTCGCAACCAGCAGGATCACACCCCCACACACGTGGGGAAAGAAGCTGACTGGGGGGGCACTAAAGCCACGCGCGGCTGTCCCTCTGTCCTTCTTCCTCCGCCTCGAGGTGCTGGGGGCCGCAGCCAGGTGGCGTGCCCCCCTTGTGGGACTCTCCCAACCAGCTCGCCCACAGCTGCGCCCGGGCCTGATGCAGATTTGGGGGATCCAGGGAGCTGGCCCAGCCCATGTGCTGCGACTCTCTAAAGTGTCCCCACTTCTTGCTGGAACTCAGCTGCAGGCCACCCGCTCTGGGCCTGAAGCCTGCCGAGCTGCACTGCGTCCCAGCGCACATGCGCTCTGCCTAGCAGGGGGTGGGGGCAGGGCCCAAGCTGACTCGGGTGGGCGTGGCCACCCTGGACACAGCTGGGTGGGCGTGGCCTCTCTGGACACAGCCTGGGCCGGGTGGCCTCGGGGGGCTGTTCTTTGGCACGAGGTTGTGCAGGGCTGCCAGCCTCCACAGAGGTGCAGGGGTGCAAGCAGTAGGCAGGCTTACCTGTGGCCGGCAGAGGGGCCCCGAGGCCGGCGTAGCCGTTGGGCCGCAGCGGGTGGAAAGGGTGGGCCTCCCCGGACAGCGCCTCCCCACCCGCTGCCTCGGCTGGCCGGTAGCACTCACCGTAGGGGAAGCAGCTGGGCACCGAGTGGAAGCTGCCCTGGTACCCTGCAGAGGGCACAGAGCCACGGTCACCAAGGTCCCTCTCTGCTCCATGTCCCTCAGATGCCCTCTCGCTGGCACCCCTGACCCCTGCTGGGTAGGACTGTGGCTCACGCAGACCCACTTCCCACTGGAAGTGCCCCATGCCATGCCACCCTCGAAGGGACCCTCTGTGCCTCCCCACGCTGGGGTCTCGTTCCTGAGTCCCCAAGGCGGCAATGAAGGGACCAGCCAGCACTTACCTTGGGGACTGGGCAGAGGCGGGGCTGGAGGGCTCTGGAAAGGCGGGTAGGGAGGCTTGCTGGGGTGCGTGGCGAAGGGCTGGCCCCCTGGAGAATGCCCCTGGGAGGATGGAGGCAGCAGTGGTGGCCCGAGTCCCTTCAGGGGGCTGACCATGGGGGGCAGGAGGCCAGGGCCCAACCTGGAGAGACCAGACACGTCTGTTAGCAGGAAGCTGCCTGTCCCCCTGCAATGGCAGCGGACTTCCAACCTGGCCTGCTCTGGCTGGCCATGGTGAGACAGAAGCGGGTGCTTTCATCTGCGATCACATTCAAGCCAGAGTGAAGAAGCCGGACAGACGGTCCAGGGGTTAAGACCTCGCACACAGCCAACCTGGGCTCAACCCGACACCGCACATGGTCCCGGAGCACCACCAGGAGTGGAGTGAGCCCTAAGCACTGAGGCAGAAGGAGCCCCTCAGCTCTCCTGGGGGTGGCCCAGACCTCCCCCACCCTGGGAGTGGGCACTGGGGTGGAGCCTGGGACTTCGTCCATGCGAGGCACCAGCTGCCCTGCTGAACCCTGGTCCAGACTCCTGTGCACCTCCAGGTTCCCTGCCAAACCCTCTACATCCCCCATAAATGCCTGCCCCCCACCCCGCCCTACCACACCCTTGCTGGACCCACGACAGTCTCCTTCATGGGACAATGAACAGTCCAGGTCACATGCTGTCACCTGTCACAGAGGCTTCTCCTCGTGCCAGACCCCTGAGGAATATCTCTGTGTTCTTGCAGAGCAGAAAATCAAGGCCCAGAGAGGCTGTCCCAGTTCCCCTGGCCGCGCAGCACAGCCCTCACCGGTCCCAGCCAGGCGGGAGGAGAGGAAGCCGTGCGGACACGGCCCTGGCCTCAGGCGCGTCGGGCTCAGGAACAGCCTGGGGCCAGGAGCTTGTCCTTCCCTTGGAGGCTGTGGCCCGGACCACCCCTGCCCCGGCCATTTCTCCTTGGCTTGCTGCCCCTGCGGCGTTGGACCCGGCCCCATTCCTGCGGAGCCCGCGGTGCAGGCCAGACCCGGGCTCTCTGGACGCTCAGGCGGCTTGTCTAGAGCAGCTGTGTGTCCTGCGTGGCGGGACGGCCAGAACCGGGCGGCCCGTCCCCTGTGCAGGCCCCTCCCTGGCCTCTGGGGTCTGCTTCCCGGGACCAGCGTGAGCCACAGAGCTGCCCGCCAGCAAGCGCCAGGGAGAAGGGGCCCTTGTGGGTGACTGGGGGCCCAACCCAAGCACCCCGCAGACTCAGTGGTGCGGCCCAGGGCCACTGCAGGGCCACGCATGTCCCCTGCCCACTGGACTCAGGTGCTGGAGGCACGGACCTGGGAAGAGGCCAGCAGGCTCCGCCCGTCCCTGCCTGCTTCCTGCAGCCCTGTCAGCCGCTGCCTGCCTGCTGCACTGCTGTTCACTGCTGGGCACAGGCGGCAGCAAGAGGGTCCAGCTGGGCCCGGCACCAACACCCCATGGGTGCCAGCTCGACCTTCACATCGATCAGTGGGATTCCCACCAAGGCTCCGAGTTCACAATCCGCCCTTCCTCCCCTCCCCCTCCCCTTCCCCTCTCCCAAAACCCTCCCCCTCCCCCTCTTCCTCCATTCTCCCCCTCCCCCATCCCCTCCCCCTCCCAACACCCTCCCCTCCCCCTCCATTCTCCCCCTCCCTCTCCCCCCCTCTTCCTCCATCCTCCTCCTACCCCTCCATCCTTCCCCTCCTCCCTTCCCCCTTCATACTCCCCTCCCCCTCTTTCTCCATCCTCCCCCTCCCCCTCATCCTTCCTGTCCCTCCCCTTTCCTCCCCCTCCATTCTACCCCTCCCCTCTTCCTACCACTCCCTCTCCCCTCCCCCTTTCTCTCTTCCTCCCCCTCCCCCTTCCCTTCTCCTCCCTCCTCTCCCTCCCCCTCCATCCTTCCTGTCCCTCCTTTCCCCCTCCACCCTCCCCCTCCCCCTCTACCCTTCCCCTCCTCCCCTCCCGCTTCATCCTCCCCCTCCCCTCTTCCTCCCCTCCCCCTCCCTTCCCTTGCCCCTCCCCCTCTCTCCCCCTCCCTTCTCCTTCCCCTCTTCTTCCCCCTCCCCCTCCCTCTCTTCCTCCCCCCTCCCCCTTCCCCTCCTGCTCCTCCTCTTCCTCTGGCCTGAATCGGTGGTCAGGTCTACCCTGGTGCTCTGCAGGCCGTGCAGTACTGCCCACGGGCGGGCCGGAGTCGCCTCTCAGAGTTCAGGGAGGGCAGGGGCGTGGCCGGGAGGGCGGTTGCCCCTGACGCCATCCCTGCTGCTTGGTGCCCCCCAGATTTGCTATGCAGGGGGATCCCGTCTCCCTGCTTCCCCAGCTGGGGTGCCCTGCTGTTCAGTGGCAGGCCTGGTCAGCAAACAGCTGACACGCAGCAGCCAGTTGTGGGACGGGCTGGTCTGAGGAGGCCCAAGGGGGCAGGAGGTGCTGCTCCGGGGCACGAACAGGCCTTTCTGGGTTTCTTGGTTTGCTGGCCTGCCTCGGGCCGGCCGTCCACCCCCGTCTGCCACCTTCCCAGCCCGCGGGGGTGGGGAAGCAGGAACAGCCGGCACTGCCCCACCGGGCCCAGCTGCTCTGAAAGGAAGAAAGATCTGCAGGCGCGCCTCTGAGTCAGGCAGAGGATTCCTAAGTCAAATATTTTTGCTTCAATTGGAACCTATAAAAATTAATAGAAAACCACTGGCCTGGCAGGCTGCGGGCTTCAGACTTCGCACGAGGCCAGGGAAAAGCCCCCGACGGGGCGTCCTCCCCGCGCCAGGGTAAATACATTTGCTCAGGATGTCGGGACCTCTCCACATATGTTCGAGTGAATCAGATAATTCTGCAGAGCTGTTCCTCCGTCCCCGTGAGCTGGGGGGAGCGGGGAGTGGCCTGCCCTGTTGATTTTGGCAGGAAGGGGAGGCTCTCTCTCCGGGGCTGGAAAAAGGGGTCATTCAAGCCGCTCTGGCCTTGCTGTCAAGCGGGAGGCTTTCTCTCCAGGGTGTCCCATGCCCGACGGGGCAGGCGGGGGTCCTGTCTGGCCCTGTCATCACCGGCTGCGAGCAGCAGGAATTCTGGCCGGGCACTCGGCAGGCCGCTGTGGTGAGAGATGGGCAGCGTGTGGTGCAAAGGTGCGAGCCCACAGGGCCCAGCGGTGTATCGTCTTTCGGTTTGGGATGTGTCAGGGGCTGATTAGCGGGACTGCTCAGGTGACGGATGGTAGCGGGCGCGTGTGTGCTCCTCACCAGCTCCCTGCAGGAGGGGGGGTCTAGATTCCACCGTACCAAAGAGGAAACAGGCTGAGGAGCTTGTGTTCTCTGGGTCCCGCTGACTCTGTGCTCTGCGTCATTCCACAAAATGCGCCCTGCTGTCCACCCCACCCCCATCTCTCTGCCCACCCACAGGTTCTTTTTCCTTTGGTTCGGGGGCCACACCCAGCAGTGCTCAGGTGTTCCTCCTGGCTCTGCACTCACGAATCATCCCTGGCAGTGCTTGGAGACTATATGGGATGCCGAGGATCGAACCTGGGTGGGCCGCGTGCAAGGCAAATGCCCTACCCGCTGTACTATCGCTCCGACCCTGCTGGTTTCTTTCTCTACCTTCCCTCAGCCCTGACTCCGTGGCCCTGGTTCAGGCTACCATCCAGCACCCCATTTTTCTAGCCCCGTGCTGCAGGCTGGTCACGTCTTAACCCCAAACCACAGCATATCTCGGACCCAGACAGCAAGGAAGCCTCCTGCCTCCTTGCACACGGCTGACACCCGTTCTATCCCTGGGACCACCAGGAGTGATCCCTGAGCACAGGCAGGGTAGCTCCTGAGCACTGCAGGTGTGGCCAAGAAACGCACAAGACGGAATAAAGGGAACAGGTCCAGTCCTGCCGAGGCCTCCCAGCTTAGCTGACCCCGCGACTCTCCTGCATTTGTCACTCACACGGGACCCTTGGTTCCCAGAGCACACCGAGCTCTCCCTCCACACCCTTCTCTGCTCAACCGACTCTGCCCCTCACCTTGGAGCCTGGCTTCACATCACCTCCTCCAGAAAGTCTTCCTTGACTTCCTTCACCATGCTTTCCCCTCCTGGCTCCCAGAGCCCCTTCTGCTCACTTCCTTAGAGAGTGTGACAACTTGGGGACCCCTGATGATCCTCTTGGGGGTGGACCAATCCACGCAGGCTCTCAGGGCCTGTCCTCAGCCACCTCCCCCCAACCGCCCCCCAAGGATGGGCTCGCTCTCCGTACCCGTCCCTGGTACTCTCCGTCGTGGGCAGAGGCGACAGGTGGTGCTGGGAAGCGGTGGCATCCAGGAGGTGGTGTCTGGCCGGGCCCTCGTGCGTGGGCGGCAGGATGCCGGCGGTGAGCCCGTTCTGGGGGGCAGCAGAAGCAGGGAAGAGACCTGTGGGGAAGCACACGAGCGTCACAGGACAGGGCCCCGGGCCCCGGAAGGAGAGTGAGACAAGAGGAAAAGCCATCCAGGGGGCACTCAGGGGTCATCTGCTGAGGGTGACCATGGCGCCAGGTGCTCTGGGCACACCTGTCTGAGGGGCCAAGGCAGACGCATGGCACAGGGCAGGGCGGGTGTCGGGGCAAGTGTGTGTCTGCACGAAGGTAGGGAGTGTGTACCGGCATGGGCCCTGGCGCTCATGAGTTGTTCTACAAGGGCTGGGGGGTTGGTCTGTGTCTCCCAGCGGCAGCTGAGAGAAGCAGGGTCCAGCCCAGGCTTAACCATCCTTTCTAAGCAGCAGAACCGCCAGAAGGCATCCTACCCCATCCTCCAGGAGGCAGTAACAGAGCCTGGATGTCCACTGCACAGCCCTTAGGGCGCATCTGTCCAGGACAGTGGCCTGCAGGACCTCAGAGAGATCCGTCATGGACAGGCTGGCAGGTTGCGCACTGCACAAGGACCCCAACTCCTGTCCCCGGGTCTGACCTCGAGCAGACACTCGCAGGGCACAGCACCTTTCACTCCCAGTCTCCTGCCCTGGTGAAGGCCAGAGGGATGAATCCGTTCATGCCCGAAGCCCGGGCTCCCCAAACGCCTTCTCTCAGGAGCACCCGTTAGAGGGGAGTGGTGAGACTGAAAGCTGAGATGGACAGAGCAAGGGGTGAAAATTTCTCCGTCCCCTATTTTTTTTTTTTGGTTTCGCTGTGCCGCAGACTTCACCCAGGGCCTCAGAAATACTCAGCATGGCAGCGAAGGTAAAGCAGGGAGGGTGTTTGAATTGCACACGGCTAACCCGGTTCAATTCCCGGCATCCCATGTGGTCCCTCTGAGCACCGCCAGGAGTGATTCCTCAGTGCAGAGCCAGGAGCAGCCCCTAAGCACTGTTGGGTGTGACCCCAAAAGCAATAAATAAAGAAAAAAAAAAAAGAAAGAAATTCTCGGCACAGGCTCTAACCACTGAACCACATCCCTGGGGCTCGTTTTAGCCAATGAAACAAGAATCAAGTTGGCAGCCTCTTCAACAACTGTGCTTATTCGAATGGAAATTGGGGTCCTTTACCCTGAAATGAATTCACGTTGTTGGCTTGGCTGTGTAGTGGCTGGGAGCGGCAGGGTGAGGGGGCCATGCCCAGGGCTGTCCACTCTGGCAGGTCCAAGTCCACCCAGGGCCAACTGTCACATCAGGAAAATCACTTTGCTCCCAGTGAATCCAAAAGACCCAGCATTCCTGGTCATCTGTGGGGAAGGACGCCCAAGATGACATCCTACTTCCTTCATGGAAATTTTCCTCTCTTGGGTGGTGGGTGCCCTCGGCTGGCCCGTGCCAGGCTGGCCGCTCCGAGCCAGGCCTGCTCTGCGTGGGGGTTCCCGGGGAGCAGGGTGCAGGCGGGACCCGACACTTGGGGAGTAAAAGAAGCCCCACCGCAGGGGTCACAACAGAGAGTGTTGGGGACAGTGGCCCAGGGGAGACTCTGTTCCCTCCAAGGCTCTCCCATCGCACCTGTTAACAGAAGCCCCCGTGAGAGCCCAGCTCCCAGCGCCCGGCCCGGCGGGAGTCTGTGGTTCCGAGCGGCAGCAGCCGCTGCCCACTAGGCACCCTCTCTGCGTCCAGCTTCCTCTCCACCTTATCTAGCGGAGCCACCTCAAGGCTTGTCAGCAGGGACGAGCACAGGATCCCGTTTCAAACTGGAGAGACGAAGTCTGCAGAATGTCGGGATCTCTCTGAAGTGAAGCCGGCCTGTCTTCTGCCTGACACCAAGAGACAGGCTCCGAGCGGGAAGGCCAGCTCGGGAACGGCCGGCTTGGAGACACCAGGACGCTGGCCGTGCTCAGGGCACTCTGCGCCCAGCCCCTCCGTCCTCGACCGCTCTTGCTCAGAATGTTAAGCTGAGGGCATTTCTGCGGGTGGGGCCTGGTGCTGCTCAGGTTCCTGGTTCCCCGTGCCCCCTCCCCGCAAACATCCTCACCTGCCATCATGAACCAGTTTGGGGGCCTGACAGTTAAGCAGGCCCAGAATTCTGATGAATCCCGATAAACACTGCTCCCTCTCCTTCGGCCATGCTGACCTCTGGCTTCTCACATCCTCGCTGCCTGCCTCGGCCCCTGGGGCAGGGGAAGAGGTCCCCATCCAGACACCTCCATCAGGTTCTCTAGCATCTTCTGGCCTTAAATCTGTCCCTGGAATCCCCAGCCCTGGTCCACGTCCCTGTCTGGACGCTCCTTTTCCACCCCTCCAAGATGAATACAGAGAAGGTGGCCAAGTGGGGACACGCAGGTGACCCTGGGAACAGGTCGGGTGTGTGTGTGTGTGTGGGGGGAGGGTTGTGAATTCTACTGTCCTGAGGGGAGAGGCAGACAGGGGTCCCACAGCACTGCCCAGCTTCACCCTAAACCTACCACTCGGGGCTGGAAATCGGCACCACCAGCTCTGGGCCAAGACCCATTAGCCTTTCTCTCACATCTGTGCCAGCGCAGGCAGGAGAACCTGCAGGTGACTGAGGCGGGGGAACAGGGCCCTGGGTGTGTCTGGCTGATCCCTCCCTCCCCTCTGGACCCGGCTCTGCTGGCGTCTGGGTGGGGCATTAGAGCGTGAGGCAGCAGGCTGGCTAAGGGTGGCCTGCGTTCAGATCCTGCCTCTTCTGTTTATGGGGGGCTGAGGTGGGTCATCCAGCAAAGGTACTTGGTCTCTCAAGACTCCGCCTCCTGCTCGGACGGGGACGAGCGTGAATGCACGCGACCCCTGAGTGCAAATGTGAATGCACACTCACTTGAGTACAGATGCCCGTGTCCTCCCACAGAACCCCTGGCACGTGCTCAGGAAGGGCAACTGCAGCGTTGCAGATCGGACAAGTGACCGTGGCTCTGCCCCTTCCCATGGGCACTTCATGATGGCTATAATGGGGCACACAGAGACCGGAGAAGCAGCCCATGGCCGCGCTGCTTCTCATGGCAGGTCTGGGGGTGCCGGGGAGGGGGCGGGAATTAAGGCTGAAGCCACTCGTGTCACCGAGCAGGCTGGAGCGGGGGGTGGTACCCCCATGGCCTCCACCCACCATGAAGACGCTGCTGATTCCATGGACTTCCTGGGGTGCCACCCCCCACCCCACCCACTGACAGCAGGTTGGGGACTGAGTCTGCTGCTGGTCCCTAGACACAGATCTTGGGGACAAGCCTTGGGCTGCTTCACGTGACCACGGAAACCTCCTTGGGCCCAGATGAGCGGGCTCTGAGAATGGCACCAGGGACCCTGGGCACCGAGCTGTCCTGAAAATTAGTCGCCACCTTCTCTTTGGCCCTCCCAAGTCAGCCTGACTCAGAGTCGGGGGCTCCATCGGGACACACTGGTTGGGGAGGTGCCACCTCCTCCCTGCTGGTCACTGCTCGGTGTCCTTCTGCACTTTTAGTCCCTCTGGCCTGGGGGCAGAAGGCTCCTGCTGGACCATTTTCCCGGGATGTCTTGGCCTGAGCGCTGCCCCCACTGGAGGGCACCCACCACCCTGTCTATGAGGACTCTGACACGCTCTTAACCCGCTGCTACCTCAACACTGAGCTAGGGGCAGGGTCAACTGCTAGAAAATGAAAATATTCTAAGTGGCTGGAGTCATTTGAGAACCGGCAGAAGGTGGGCAGAGTCTGAGGAAGAGTCGGCCATGGTGATGCTGTGTGTGTGGCGGGGGTTACAAGCCCCATCGGGGTGGGGGGGACATGGAGGTTACAAGCCCCGTCTGGGGGTACGCAGGGAGTACCAGCCCCTCTGCTGCCTGGGTCTGTCCTGGTTTCTCAGCCACGGGGCTGACACCTGCCCGCACCCTGCCCAGAGGCTCAGGGAGTCTGACTGGAAGGGCCTGGAGGGTGCCCAGAGGTTTGGGGGGTGTCCAGCTCCGGGCCTCGGAGAAAAGCTGGAAAGGGTTAAGGCTGGGCACCCCCACCCCCCTCTCAGAGGTGCGTCCATTTTCTCTGAAGCTAGGAGCCAGGTGGGGGAAACCTGGCCTTCAGGGGTGGACGTGGAGGGGCTGAGGGGGTGTCTGGTGCGTCAGAGCCCAGTTGAGAGGAACTGCCCGAGGGGCGTGAGAAGGGGCAACTGCCCCGTGGCCCCCAGAGCCTACCTGGGAGCAGCTCCTGGCCCAGGGCGCGGTTCCCCTTCCCGTCGGTGGCCGGCAGTGGGGTGGCCCCGCGCAGCTGCTGCAGGCCCAGGCACTCAGTCAGCGTGGCGGCGTCCGACTCTGCGCCCACATGCAGCTGGGAGAAAGCACAGAGAGGGGCTCAGTACAGGCCAGCTGCTGGGGGCCTGCTCCTGTCCTCTCCTGAGACCCAGTCCACGCCCTGAATCCCCTGTGCAGTGACTGTGCAGTGACTGTCTGTGCAGAGACCCCAACTGTGCAGTGACACTGTCTAGAGACCCCAAATGTGCAGTGACCCCATCTGTGCAGTGACCCCAACTATGCAGTGACCCTCATCTGTATAGTGACCTCCATATGTGTAGTGACCCCCCATCTGTGTGGTGACCCCCATTTGTGTGGTGACCCCTGTCTGTGCTGTGATCCCCATCTGTGCAGTGACCCCAACTATGCAGTGACCTCATCTGTGCAGTGACCCCAACTATGCAATGACCTCATCTGTGCAGTGACCCCCACCTGTGCAGTGACCCCAATCTGTACAGTGACCCCATCTGTGCAGTGACCACGGTTTGTGCAGACTCCCCATCTCTGCAGTGCTCCCTCCATCTGTGCAGTGAACAGGCCCACTGCAAGCACTGTGAGGTTGTGCAGTGTGGACAGTGAGTGAGCTCCAGCCGGCTGAGGCCATGGCACAACATAAGCTCAGGGCCTGGAGCAATGATACAGAGGACTTGATCCCCAGCCCCCCATGTCCCCTGAGCCCCACCAGGAGCGATCCCTGAGTGCAGAGCCAGGAGTCGGCCCTGAGCCCCACTAGGAGTGGCCCCCCAACAAGACAAACAAAACAAAGGAGAAGAAAAAACAGACAAGCAGGGTTATGCTCGGGTTCACAGACTGCAGCTCATCACGGGCTGGGAAGGCCCTCACAGCCCAGCCCCCAGCGGAGAATGGCGTTGGCGAGACACCCTGACCTCCAGCAAGACCCTGTCCTCCCCAGGGCCCAGGGAGGGGGAGGGGGTGCAGGGAGGGTCTGCGTGTGGAGAGGGAGAACCCCTTTGTTCGGGGACCCCCCCGGGCTGGGCCACTGGGGCTGAACGTTTGGCTTGTGCCAAGTCTCCCTCCACGGACACCAGGACACCACGGGCCAGAGGGGTGGAAGCTGAGAAGGCCTCGTCCCGGCAGCACTGCCCAGAGGCAGCCTGGAGGGGTGTGGGGGGGGGGCGCTGGGGGCTCCGTCTCTGGGGCCGGAAGGGCCAGCGCCCAGCTCGGGGAGGCCCGGGGTCCTGTGGGCTCGGCAACCTGACCCAGCAGCTGTTTTCCATGTCAATTAAGTTTCTGGCAAATGAAGGCCGAGGCATGTTCCCGAGACCGCAATGTCGATCGGATTAGGAGCAGCGGGAGAGGGGAATTAGGGAAGAAAAGCATTTCTAATTCTCTCTGAAATGCAGCGCGGCTGCCAAGGCCTTGTCAGAGCACCAGGGCCCTTCACCCAGCGTACGCGCCACCTCCAGCGGCTATTGTTGGGGAGTTTGCAGGTCCAGGGTCCTGGGTCCCTGGGGTGCTGCACGCACCAAGCATGGGCCTGGGAAAACCAGGGCCGGGGCCGGCTTCTGGGCACCGCCTGCCCTGCCCAAGGCCGCCCTGACATGAGCTCAGCTCAGGGTGTGGGGGAGAGCCCGCCTGGCCCCAGCTCCGTCCCTCCCACAGATGGTGCAGCCTCAGTCTCCACACCTCTAAAATGGGGGCACAGGTCATCCCCTACCTCTTCATTACCGTGTGCACGGGGCAGGATGGAGCGAGGGGAGTGGGCTGCACCTGCTGAGAGGTGCGGGCCCCGGGGGCCTTGACCTGACTTCCTGCTCCCCTGTTTTGGGGGTCTCCCACTTGCTGCAGGATGAAGACCCACGTCTGCAGGTCTTCCCACTGCGGAGAAGGCCCCTCCCGTGGACAGATGCAGCCTCAAGTCTGTCTCCGCCGTCTTCCTGCTGACCTGCTCCGAGGGCAGGGCTGGACATATGTGCATGTGCTTCTCCTCTGTCCTCCCGTGTCTTGCTGGTACCCCCACACCAGCCGCTGGGCCTCCTTCCTAGTGCCAGGACCCCCTTCCCAGACCTCCGCAGCCCTGGCCGAGTCCTGTCCCCAGGCTGGGCCCTGAGGGCTCTCGTCTTCCTGCAGGGGCGCCCTCTGGCCTGTCCCCGGGTCTGGCACTGGGGAGCTCCACCCCGCCCTCTGCCCAGCCCGCAGACCCCAGGCCCCCACCCCCCAGGCCGCCCCAGGAACCCCCCACCCTCTCTCCTGCTCTCCCCTGCCCCCAAGACCCCACTCATCTTCCAGAACAGCTTGTCCACTCTGCCTCAGACCTCCCAAATAGCCGCACTGTCCACCGGTCACTGCCCCAACACCGGGGCAGGGCTGGGGCTTAGCGTGCTCCGCTTAGGCCGGGCAAGTGCCCACTGTCCTCACAATGACCAGCATTGTCCATTCGGGTCCCCTTGGTCAGCGTCACTGGACAAACTCATTCCTTACTTACCCGCTTGTCCAGAGTCCTGGCCCAACTCCTGTCCTGTATTTCAGCCTTGGGACCCTGCGCGACAGCCTTCAGGCAGCCCCACAGCGCCCCCCTCTGGCCTAGGAGAGCAGTGCACAGGACTGAGAAGTGACCAGGGCCCCGGGAGCGTCCCTGCAGGCTGGGCACCTTCGGCAATCATAAGCCCGGGGAGGGACATGGGCCTCCTGTGCCCCCGGTGCAGGCCAGGCCCTGGCCAGGCAGGGGGCCAAGCCACAGAGTGGACGCAGAGCAACTGGAGGTGCTTCCTGGGCAGGGCGCGCCCAGGTGCGGGGGCCTGGAAGCGGCCGAGGGGGGCAGAGACGTCTGGGGTGCTCAGAGGGGGGGTCGGGCCCCTACCTTCTTCCGCACCTGCTGCTCCTTGGCCGAGTGGGCCTTGACGTGCTTGCGCAGGGAGCTGGGGTCCGTGTAGCGCTTGGAGCAGCCGGGGATCTGGCAGGCGTAGGGCTTCTGCGAGGAGAGCGCAGGCGGTGACTCGGGGCGCAGCCGAGAGGGGGACCCCCGCGTCCTCCCGCAGCCCCGCCGGGATGGTCTCCTTCAGCCCTGGGGGGCGCGGGGGGCTGTGTCTCCCTCGGACCCCCACACAGCCCCTCCCAGTCTGCCGGGCTGAGGGAGCTGTGTGCGGACAGGGAGGGGCACGAGGTGCGGGAGAGAGGGGACAGCACGGAACAAGGGTCACAGACGCAGGGGCCCTCGGGGAGAGGCAGGCACCCTGGTGGCAGTCAGGCCCCGGCACCACAGGCATCCCAGGTTCGGGCTAAGTGCAGGGCCTGGGGCCGGGGCAAGGCTGCGTGTCCTTCCCCGCGGCGGTCACTGACCCACCCTGCTCGAGCGCCTCCAATCTCCCCTCACTCGGGCCAGTCCCTCAGAGATGGTGCTGCTGGCCCCTCAGGGACACCTCACACCACAGGTCTGTGACTCAGGGCGGCCAACCTCGCCTGTCTGTCCGTCCCTGTCCGTCCCTGCCTGTCCTCCCCTGTCTGTCCATCCCTGCCCATCTGCACCTGTCCGACCGTCCCTGCCCTTCCTCGCCTGTCTGTCCATCCCTGCCTGTCCTCCCCTGTCTGTGCGTCCCTACCCATCTGCGCCTGTCTGTCTGTCCTTGCCCGTCCTCCCCTGTCTGTCCGTCCCTGCCCGTCCTCGCCTGTCCGTCGGTCCCTGCCCGTCCTCGCCTGTCTGTCCGTCCCTGCCCATCTGCGCCTGTCCGACCGTCCCTGCCCTTCCTCGCCTGTCTGTCCATCCCTGCCTGTCCTCCCCTGTCTGTGCGTCCCTACCCATCTGCGCCTGTCTGTCTGTCCTTGCCCGTTCTCCCCTGTCTGTCTGTCCCTGCCCGTCCTCGCCTGTCCGTCCGTCCCTGCCCGTCCTTGCCTGTCTGTCCATCCCTGCCTGTCCTCCCCTGTCTGTCCATCCTTGCCTGTCCTCCCCTGTCTGTCCGTCCCTGCCCATCTGCACCTGTCCGACCGTCCCTGCCCTTCCTCGTCTGTCTGTCCATCCCTGCCCATCCTCGCCTGTCCGTCCATCCCTGCCCATCCTCGCCTGTCTGTCCATCCCTGCCTGTCCTCCCCTGTCTGTGCGTCCCTACCCATCTGCGCCTGTCTGTCTGTCCTTGCCCGTCCTCCCCTGTCTGTCCGTCCCTGCCCGTCCTCGCCTGTCCGACCGTCCCTGCCCTTCCTCGCCTGTCTGTCCATCCCTGCCTGTCCTCCCCTGTCTGTGCGTCCCTACCCATCTGCGCCTGTCTGTCTGTCCTTGCCCGTTCTCCCCTGTCTGTCTGTCCCTGCCCGTCCTCGCCTGTCCGTCCGTCCCTGCCCGTCCTTGCCTGTCTGTCCGTCCCTGCCTGTCCTCCCCTGTCTGTCCATCCTTGCCTGTCCTCCCCTGTCTGTCCGTCCCTGCCCATCTGCGCCTGTCCGACCGTCCCTGCCCTTCCTCGTCTGTCTGTCCATCCCTGCCCATCCTCGCCTGTCCGTCCATCCCTGCCCATCCTCGCCTGTCTGTCCATCCCTGCCTGTCCTCCCCTGTCTGTGCGTCCCTACCCATCTGCGCCTGTCTGTCTGTCCTTGCCCGTCCTTGCCTGTTTGTCCGTCCCTGCCCCGTGCCTCCCCACCCACCAGCAAGCCTGCTGTGGAACCTTCCTCCTGCACCCCTCCCCCTCCGGTCCCACATCCTGCCTGCTGGGCCTGCACACGGGGCCCCTCTGGCCTCAGGGAGCTCCTGAGGGGGACCGGGAGCAGACGTGAGTGTTCCCTTCAGGCACGCCCACGTGGGCTGCCCTGACTGACCTCAGGGGGGAGCAGGAGGAGAGGACCGTACCTTGGTTCTGCCACGGAGAGTTGCCCGGTTAGAGACAGAGGAGAGCAAAAAGAGAGAGACAGAGCGTGAGAAGCTGCAGCGCGGGGAGGTGTAGGGAGGGCAGGCGGCCTGCCCGAGACCCCCACCCCGAGTCTCACACGCTCGCACAACACATATACTCACACACACTCACAGACATACCTACATGCACTCACACACACACTCTCACATATACACTCACAGACTCACACTCATGCACTCACAAACACACCTACACACACACGCTCTCACACATGCACTCACACACACACTCATAAACACTCACATACACACACTCATACACACTCACAAACACACTCACTCTCTCACACACACACTCACACACACTCACACGCACCGCCGTCTCTCTCACATATACATATCCTCTCACACACACTCACACACACACACTAACAATCAATACTCTTACATACACTCACTCTCACACAATACTCTCTCACACACATATACTTGTATACACACTCACGTATATTCCCTTCACACACTTTCACACGATACATACTCACACATATATAAAGACCTTCACACATATACAATACACACACCCAGACACACACATTTATATACACTCACACAAACACACTCACACACTCACAATCTTGCTCTCTGATACACACACACACACACACACACACACATACACACCCCTTTCTCCTGCCCTGCCTCGCCCCACACCCTGTCCCAGGCACACTGATGCGAACCCTGTGCCTTTGCGCCTGTGCCCCGAGCAAGCACACAGCCCTGCAGGGAGACGGGCCTCAGGCCACTTCCGTTTGTTTTTCCAGGGCCTGATGGGTGCGGACATTTCTCCACCCTGGGACCTCTGAGGTGCTGAGGTTGCCCCCACATGCTCAGCCCCCAGGCTCCAGGCAGGCAGGGACACTACCCTGTCTGCAGCCTCCACGTAGCCCAGAGCCATCCAGGGAGGCGGCAAAGGAGGGACAACGACAACCTACCAGCTGATGGGGAAACTGAGGTTGGAGCAGGGCAGTGAGAGAGAACTCCTCTGAGGGAGCTGTTGGTCAGTCGACAGGAAGTGAGGACTGTGGGGGCCTGACACCCCTACTGCTGTCTCTGAGGTCGTGTCTGAGGAAACGGAGGCCCAGGAGGCCTGAGGAAGGCCAGAACCCGGCAGGTTCTCTCTGGTCCGTCCATTGGACTCTCCTGCCTGTGGGGAGAAGCTGCTCTTCGGGTGTGTCAGGGTGGGGGCCTGACCACCTCCCCACTGTGGGTGCTGGGGAAGCGCCCGGTGCCCAGAGCTGCCTGTGGTGTTTCTGTGGGGTGCGAGTGAGTGGGCTCGGGTCTGCTCACTGTCCCCCATGCCCCTGCCTAGCCTCAGGGGCCCCTGGGGGAGACAGAGACTGAGACAAACCCTGGGGTTCATTCAGGGCCCAGCAGGGCCAGAGGCCTGATGCCTTGGGGCTGGGTCCCAGAAATGGCAGGGAGCGGCTAACCCCGGATAGCTGACCCCAGAGGCCTGGGGTGCCTTGTGGCATCTGGGGGGACACGACCCGGGGGACACAACCTGGCGCCACTGCTTCTTGCTGGCAATGAAGGGGGCGTCACTGGAGCCCCTCCTCACCTCCCCTGGGGCAAGGCGGGGGGGGGGGGTGTCTGGGGGACCCCTCATGGCCCTCCAAGGGCCTGACAAGGCCTGGCCCTGCCTGACCCTCACCCAGGATTGGGGGGGACAGGGAAGCCGAGAGAGCAGCACACCCCCAACAAGGCCTCCTCGCCTGCCTCTGCCCCGTCTCTGTCGGGCCCTGGGTCTCCCAGCCCTACCAGAAAGGCCCAAAGGCTCCGCCCTCTGCGTGTGGCGGCAGCTGGGTGCTCAGGCCGCCCAACCTGCTCCTGGCAGCACCCGGATCCTGGTGGGAAGCAGAGAGGGGCAGGCAGGGGCTCAGGGTGAGGTGCATGGAGGGAGGGGGTCTTCAGGGTGCCTCGACCGGAAGGCCGGGCAAAGGAGGGCACACAGGCAGGGCGTGTTCAGCCTTCTCGGGACCCCCCAATGCTCAGGACAGAGAGCTGTGCCCGTTCCAGGGCTGGTGGCCAGGGAGGCCCAGAGTGGCCTGTTCTGGGGTGACCCAGGGGAGCATGGGGGCTGTGATGGGGGCGGGGAGGTTCCTCTCCAGGGGAGGTGACAGCTTATCACCTCCTCCCTGATGCGGTACAGCTGACACCGGGAGACGGGGGGTCACCTCCGTCTGGGGCTGGAGGCCGCAGGACCCTGCCGCGGTCCTACCGTGTCGAGGTGGGTGCGCTGGTGCTTGGCGCGGTCGCTGGAGTTGCTGAAGGCCTTGTGGCAGCCCGGGTGCTGGCACAGGTACGGCTTCTCGCCCGTGTGGCTCCGCAGGTGGATCTTCAGGTTCTCCAGCCGCGAGAAGGCCTTGCTGCAGCCTTCAAACTGTGGGAGAGGCGGGTGAGGGGCGCCCGCAGCCCCCGAACACCCCGTCCCATATCCCGGCAGGGTCCTCTGGCTCTTGGTCTGCCCCCAGACAGTGCTCAGAACCCTGTTTCTCTCTGGAAAACCCCGGTGAGCCCAGAAGAAAAGGCACCTAATGAGAAATGGGCAGGGCCGTGCAGCCTCTGAGTCTGGAAGCTTCTTTCTCTGTTGGCGTCTGAAGGGCAGGGCCATGCGTCCAGGCATGGGCACAGCCCGAGCTCCCACAGCTGGGGGCCAAGGCTCAGAGCTGAGCCGGGACAGACCCGGCCTGGTGAGGTGTGGGCAGTGCCCATGATCCAGTTCCCCTGTCCACAATTTCAAGACAATGCAGTCAACACCAGGGCTCATCTGAAGGCCCCAGAGTGGACACCAGCACTCACGGGCTCTGCGCAGCCGGGCCAGTGGTGGTAGGGCTGAACAGTGCCCACGTCAGTGCCCATGCTGGTGCCCACATCAGTGTCGATGTCCACATCAATGTATATGTCAGTCTTTACACAGTGCCCACATCAGTGTCCACAGGTTCTCATATTGGTGTCCACATCATGCCCATCAGTGTCCACATTAATGTTTACATAAGTACCAAATTGGCACCCCTTTGTTGCCCCCGTTGTGCTGACATTAATGGTATCATCAGTGCCCACAACGGTGCCCACATCAGTGCCTTCACTGGCACCATCTGGTACTGACATTAACGCCCACACTGTGCTCAAGTTGACGTGTATGTTGATGCCCACATTGGTGCCCGTATTGGCATACTTGTCATCCCAGATTCCTCTGGGCTGTTCAACTATCCAGTGCCCACCACATACCTGGTTCCATATTGGACAGTGGGCATTGCTGGGTTGGGACTGGGCGGGTAGAGACTCCCACAGCGCCTCCTTTAGGTTCTGCTCCCCCCACAGCCTCTGTCCCAGGCGCTCTGACCTGGAACTGGCATCCCCTTCCTTCCCGCAGTCACCCCAGAGGCCGGATGGGGCACCGCCCTTCCAGCCCTGCATCCGAGCCCCGCACCCAGTCTCCAGCCACGTGGACTCCCAGCCACGCCTTGCAACAGCGTGTCACTCTCGTCACCCAGAAGGAAGCTTCACAACAGACCTTGACCCCAACCCCAGCTTTGCAAGTCCAGTTCAGGAAGAGCAGTGGGTGGAGGCAGCGGGCCTCGGTCCTGGACTGGGGCTTGTCCCTCTGCTGGCCCAGTGCCCGTGGGCGGAAAGACCAGTGCTCGGCACTTGCTCCAATCAGGTGTGCTCCCACTCCACCAGGTATGTTCGCATTAAACCCAGGTGTGCTCCCGTTACACCAGGTGTGCTCCCATTATACCAGGTGTGTTCCCGTTACACCCAGGTGTGCTCCCATTACACCGGGTGTGCTCCCATTACACCAGGTGTGCTCCCGTTACGCCTAGGTGTGCTCCCATTATATCCAGGTGTGCTTCCACTCCACCAGGTGTGCTCTTGCTCTGCCCAGCTGTGCTGCTGCCCAGCTAAGATCCCACTTGCCCAGCTGTGCTTCTGCTTCACCCAGGTGCTCCTGCTCCTCCCAGGCGTCTACCTGCTCCTCCTGCAGTCTACCACCTGGGGCTGTGCAGGCTCAGTGGCTCCACTCAGAAGGGAGGCTGTGCATGGTCATCCCAGGTGGGCTACGGCGAAAAGCCACCCTGGCCATGGAGACTAGAGGCGGGCAGGGAGGGGACCCGCACGGACACAGGGGCCGCTGTGCTCTGCGGGCTGCCCCCTCGGCTGGGCTGGGGGCTGTGCTGCTTCTCCCCCCCGTCGCCGGGCCTTAGGCAGAAGGACACTTGCTTGGGGAGTCAGCAGGCCACCACCCCGCCCCATCGTTAGTCCCCCACTGCGTTCCCGCACTGGCCTGGTGCTGGGCTCTGCACGCAGAGATGAAGACGGTCCCTCAGCAGCAGGTCCCTCTGCCCTCCGGCCCAGTGCAGGACACATGCCAGGTGCTGAACAGACACACCCAGGCCGGGATTTCCTGCAGGGGTGTCTCTGTGCATCAGGAGTCTCGTGGGCGAGCCCACTCAGAGGGTGGACCGTCTCCCCGAGTGGGTTGGCCAACACCCCTCTCCCGGCCCCTCCTGGGCAGGACACTTTCCCGTTCAACTCACCAACAATTTAATCCCAATGTTTTCTCAAAACCCATGATCCCAGCTTGGCCCAATATGCCCGATGCCTCGCTCACCTGCAGACCACCCAGCATACTCCCTCATCTGCAGACCCCCCCAGTATATTGCAGATCCTCCACACACTGCAGACACCCCCATGCACTGAAGCCCCCCCTGCACATTGCAACCCCCCTGACACACTGCAGAGCCCCCCTGGCACTGAAGACACCCCCACACGTGGAAGATCCCCCAGCATGCTGCAGACCTCCCACATGCTGCAGATCCCCTGGTGCACTTCAGACTCCTCTGGAACATTGCAGACCCTCCCCGCCCCCCCCCCCCAGTGTACTGCAGACCTCCCTGGTACACTGCAGACACCCGGTACACAGCAGACACCCTGATGCACAGCAGACCCTTGTGCACTGCAACCCCCCAGGAAACTGCAGACACCCAGTGTACTGCAGACCTCCAGGACACTGCAGATCCCCAGGACACTTCAGACCCCCAGGACACTTTAGACCCCCAGTGTACTGCAGACCCCAGGACACTGCAGATCCCCAGTGCACTGCAGATCCCCAGGACACTGAAGACCTCCAGGACACTGCAGACCCCCAGTGCACTGCAGACCCCCAGGACTCTGCAGACCCCCAAGGACAATGCAGACCCCCGGGACACTGCAGACCCCTGGGACACAGTAGACCTCCTGGTGCACTGCAGGCTCAGGCATGAGTGATCTCTCACACTGCAGGTTTCTGCTCCCAGCCCACCAGTTCTAGCGTCCTGAGCCAGCCCTAGCATGGTGGGTCAGAGGTGACCCCTGCTCATGCACTGCACTGCCTTCCCTCAGGCCTGCATGGGGCTGGGGCTCCCGAAGGGGCTGAGCTCTCACTGACAGGCATAGGGCTGGTAAGAAATGCGGTTCCATGGGGGTCCCCAGCACGGAGCACACCTGCCTGGGGGACAGACTCTTCCGCGCCAGCTTCCAGGTCTGCCCAGAAACCCCCAAAGTTCCCAGGGCTGAGTTTCAGATGGTGGCACAATAAGCAGGTGCCCGCAGGGTGGGGGAGGCTGGCCCCCTTCGTGCTGCTCCCAGGACTGGACTGGGCCAAGCGGGTCTTGCAGGAACCCCCAGGTCAGGCTACATCCAGAGACCTGGGGGGAACATGGGGCCTACAGCTGCCCATCTGGTGCTCCTGGTCCCTTTTGCTCAACAGCCGCAAGTGGGGGTCATCCCGGTCACTGCCCACCCACCCCCTCCCCCAGGACACCCTCGCCCAGCACCCAGAGGGCCACAGAGGCTGCAGTCCTGCCAAGGCCCCTGCGGGCACCTGCCCCCAGTGCTGCGGGATGCCCTGAAGTGCTGCACCAGCGCCACACAGCGTCCAGGTGTCCGAGTGACCAGGACAGGTCCTGAAGCATCCAAGCAGGCAAGCACGGCACTCGGCAGAGCCCAGACTCCTCCCCAGAAGCCCAGGTTCGTGCCAGACGCGTGTGCAGGTCATCTGTGTTGCCCAGAGCAGCCCAGGCTCTGCTGCCACGGGGCAGCCATGGGCAGAACGGCTCAAAGGCCACAGAGAGGGGTCAGTCACGCCCCAGGAAGCCCCTACCCCAGCCAGGGGGGTGAGGGGCCCGCACCCTCTCCACTCTGCCTCTGAGGGATGTCAGTGTGGGGTCCGGGGTCCTTAGAGACGCCTCAGTGCTTCCCGGATGCCACAGTGCCAGATTCAAGGTGACGGGTGAGCGTTTTCTGGTGATGCAGGGCCCCTTGGCATGTGCCCATCACAGCCGGCTCCAGAATGGAGGTGCCTTTCCAGCCCCGGGTGCTGGTGGGGAGACTGAGCCTCAGAAAGGCGACAGGCCTGGCTGCAGCAGAGCTGGGATGTGGTCTGCGGTCTGGCCGAGGTGCAAGTCGGTCTGTGGGAGTCCCTCACCGCCCTGGGCTGGGCCCCCGTGCCACGGAGCCCGCCATGATTCCCGGCAGGCCACCTCCTGCACCCCAATCCTGGGCCTGGGAGAAGCCGTCCCCTCCTCCAGCCCCGCGGAGAGCAGAGATCCACCCACAAAAAGGAGAAGCAGCGGAGAAGAAAGCCGGGCCCGCGCCGTGCGGCCTTGAAAGGCTCGATCCCACATGTGGGGCGCGTTACAGAGGAAGATTAAAATAACGGGGGAAAATACCCCGGGAACCGTGAAGCCCGAGACCAGCTGGCGTTTTATAGTAACAGGCAGGGGGAAATCAGAACCTAATTGAAAAAAGTCCCCTGTATCCCATTACTGCTCTGAACAGCGCCCAAACCCGAGGCAAGGGGGTACGGGGTTGTGGGGAGCCCCCGCCTTCCCCTCGGGGCCAAGCCCCGGGACACTGCAGGTGCTGGCCATGCCCGAGAACCCACGGGCACCTGGCCGGAGAGCCTGCAGCTCTGGGCCGACCCCACTCGGCGACTGCCCTCTCTGAGCCAAAGCGATGATTCCAGAGGCCCCCGACACCCGCAGTGCGGCCCACCCAATGCTCCCTCTGGCCCTGGGGAAGGAGCCGGGCCCGAGTGGACTGTGGGGTTCACCGTGGATAGCCACAAACTCAGGCGTGTCTCCCGGCCGCACCTCTGTCCTCATTTTTCTCCTCTGCCACAGAGCAGCAGCCCTTCGACGTCAGTGGAGGGAGGTCCCGGCTGGCACTGGTGAGTGGCCATGGCTGGGGAGTGCCAAGATCCTTCCCCGCAGCCAACAGGGCCTGGTTTCTCAGGCTCCGGCTAAGAAACTGGACACAAGTATGAGGAGAAGGTTTGGGGAGATGGGGCGGGGGCGGGGGAAGAAACGCCTCCAGTTCTGGCCTTTGCCAGTGACTTGC